AAAGGCGAATATTGAATGTATATATTAATATCTATATAAATATATCACACATTAGAGAGAAAGACCGGTAGATAGACATGATACATACAGAGTGTACGCACACACACGTGCAGCATACACAAACATGCACAGTGTGTGTATATATGCATACAAGTATGTGTGTTTGGGTGTGCGCGCGTGCTAAAAATTAGTCTTGCTAAAGCTAGCTGTCTGTTTATATCTGTCTGTCCATCCATCCATCCATCCATCCATCCGTGTGTCTGTGTCTGTGTCTGTGTCTGTGTGTAACTGGTTCATTGTGTATTTGTGTGGGGGTAGGGCAACCCAGCTCCCGCCCCTCCCCTCTCTTATCAAAGTAGATGGGGGGGCTGGCTTTCCTCTCCTCCTCCTCCTCCTTCCCTTTCTTTCCCGGTGGCTTGTGGGAAACTCCCAAAGGTGTTGCTGATGCGAAGGGCCCCGTGTGCGCGTGCGTGTGAGTGCATGCGTGCAACAAAAGGACCAAGAGCCCAGCTTTGGAGCTGGTCCCCAGGAGCCCCCTCTCCTCACCCCTACCCCACCCCAGGATAAAAGGGGGGAGGCAGGGGAAGCCCCACCTGGGTCCACCCCCCTCTCTCTCTCATGAATTTTTCCTCTTTAAGACTCTGATAACTTGAGATCTGAGCGCCGGTCCTTTTGTGCTCCGTAAACATGTTCAGGCTGGCCCAGGGGGTCCCTTTCTGTCAGGTTTTTCTTGGGCGACCTGCCCGGAACATACAATACAACAATATTTATATTTCCAGATATTTATAAAGCGAAATTATACTAAAAGTATCCAGATCATGTATATCTATACTAACACATCCATACATAAATACATGTGAACACAGTATGTATGCAAATTCAGTGTAGATTATTATTGTCATTTTGTGGGTTTATACATATCCTACAGATTAAAAGGTTTTATGTAGCTGTTTTCTAAAAGATACGCATATATCTTTTCACACAGATATATATCATACATCTGTATTTTTAAATCTATCCATCTAGTATAAGGTACAGATATCACTAGAGAGAGCGAGAGAGCTATATAATGCATTTAATATTTATTAAACAAGAAAACAAGAGCCAGAAAAATTAAATTAAGGAATGAAAGTAGGAAATTCTGTAGAATAAAAAAATTTTTTTACTGTGGTGTCTTTCTTTCTCTTCTTGCCTAGTTACTGAATGGAGAGAGAAATTGAAAATATAGAAATTGTTGATAATGTGTGTGTAAAAAGAGGTGTACCCATCTTTCAGAAAAATGCTACGTCAGAACCTATAATAATGTGTGAGACATGTATATATAGGCACATACTATGTATTACTATGTAAATACATAAACATAAATAAATACGTGTGTGTGTGTGTGCATACATCACAGACACACCCCGCAATACAAATGCGCAAACGCCCCGGCGGTGGGCGTTGCGCTCTGAACCCGGCGGGCTCTAGGACCGCGGGGCCGGGAGAGGGAGGGTTAAGGAAAGAGCCAAGCCCGGCCCCTCCGGTCAAACGGGCGCGTCCGGGGCTGGATCAGGAGCCGCTCCGCCTCCTTCCCGGGCTTTCGCCTCCGGATCCCCGGGCGGGCGAGGAGGGGCCGCCGGTGCGCCCTGGCGCGTTTGGAGAGGTGGGTGCGCTTGCCTGGCCTTGCATCTTGGGGGAGAGGGTGAGTGGGGGGTCTGATCCGGGCAGGCTGTCCTCCTGAGTCGGCTCCTCTGTTTGCAAGGGGGATTTACTCGCGAGCAGACCAGAGGCACCTCTTCCCCCGCCCGCCCCCCCCCGGGTATCCTTTCCTGATCTTCGCGATCTGGGGAATGAAGCCGTTGCAAGACTTTTTAGCTCGTGTTTGGGCCCATCCTGGGCCTGCTTACTCGGGAGTAGACTCAGCGGCCTTGGAGAGGGCTGGGGTCCTTTTTTAAAAAAAAAAAACCGCCGGAGAGCTAGGCAGGAAGGAGGGTTTTGCTGCAGGTTGTATTTTCCTGGGGGAAAATACAGTACAACAGCCAGCCTGGATGCCAGAGGGGAGGGGAGGATTTACTCCTGAGTAAAGGCGCCGTGGATCGTGGCCCAGGAGCCTCCAGGTGCTGGGTGGGGCAGCCCTTGGACATAAACAAGACACACGTTAAGTAAAATGTCAGAACGTGTTATATTTACTAATTAAATGTTGTCCCTTTGCAGGACAGTGCAATAAAGATGACCACCTTAACCCGCCAAGATCTCAACTTTGGACAAGGTACCATCCCTTTTTTTCTTCCAACTTTTCCACATCTGGGGTCCGCCTTGAATCTATTACAGTTTTCAGCCTGTTGTTTTTTTAAAAAATTATTACCATCATTTTGGCTCTTATTTTTCATTCCTACACACTACCTTTCAGATTTACTGGACTACAACCTCCAGTATCCCCAGCCCTTAGGGCGAGCAGCTTTTGGACTTCTCTCATCCCTTTAAAAAAACCGGCCAGATTGGCTGCCATGATGCCTTCATGTGGCAGGGAGTTCCACCGTTTAACCATGCAGAGCGTAGACTTATTTTCCTTTTCTCCATCCAGAATTTTTCTGCCGTTCCACGGATGACCCTCGCAGGTTTTAAGGCGATGGGATATCTTCTCATGTTTACGAGTTTTCCTTGGATTCTCGGAAGAGCAGATTAAAATTTGCTTTTACTCATTCAGATAGGTGCCGGTTGGTTTATCCACTGAATTACAGTTGATTAATCTGCCAGACAGGGGCTGTTTACCAAGGAGTCAATCTGGAATAAAACATGTGTAGTGTAACAGCTCACAACAAATGCTTCGTGTTGCTTTTTGAAAAAAACACCCCGTTTATAATGTCTCTCCCCATCTTGGTCCTTCTGGTGATTCTTTTACTTTTTCCTTCCAGTTGTTGCTGACGTGCTCTCCGAATTTCTGGAAGTGGCCATCCACCTCATCCTTTACGTCCGAGAAGTTTACCCCACGGGGATCTTTCAGAAGAGGAAAAAATACAATGTTCCTGTTCAGGTGAGAGAGGTCGCTGTATTTTAAAAACAGACGTACTTTAAATGCAGATCTTAAAAAGAGATGCACTATGTTGTGGTTTGTATTGTCACGGTTATTTGTGCCTCCTTCGCATCTCCGTTCAGTGCAACTTTGTTTGGGGAAGGCTTCCGCGTGAAAAAAGGAAAGAAGAAAGCCTTGCAGGTAAAAAGCTAGCATGTCAGGGAAGGGAAAAAAATTAAATTCCCAAATTGACAATATTAATGTTTCTGTTTAATTTTGGTTTTACTAGAAAGCAGTGTTCAAAAATGGTCTCTCTACCCACACTCAAATTTTTTTCATAGTGGTCATAGTTCCTTCTGCTAGATCAGGGCTATACCACAGCACCCTTCATTTTATTGTGGTTCTAAAATCACAACGTCCCTGCACTTTTGACATAAAACCTAGAGAACGGTGGCTTCTGTAAGCAGACTGCTGGAATTTGGACTTTCTGGAATTAAAATTCTCATCCAGTTTGGAAATCTAATTCGGTTGGATCAACTTTGAAATTTGGATTTCAAGAACCAAGTCAAAACACTTTGTGGAAATTAAGATAAACTATGTCCATAGCCTTCCCTCGGTCTACTAAGACGAGAACCCTCAATCCTTTTCGTTTTAAAAAGACAGATAAGATTAGTGGAGCAGGACTTGCTCTTTAGAAATCAATGTATGTATGTCTGTGTAAAACAAAGTTTCTTGTTTGAATAGATGTCTTGCCACCCGGAATTGAACCGATATATCCAGGACACTCTCCACTGTATCAAGCCGCTGCTGGAAAAGGTGATTTCAAAAGCCTTGGCCAGGAGGCGTCATAATCCCTCGTCTTGTCTCCATTTAATTCAGCCTTGGTGCAGCCAAGCTTTTGGACTTCACAGAGTTCTTCCTCTAGCAACACGCTGTGCTTTCCCGTGTTTTTCAGAACGATGTGGAAAAGGTGGTGGTGGTCATCCTGGATAAGGAGCACCATCCAGTAGAGAGGTTTGTCTTCGAGATCACCCAGCCTCCCCTGCTGTCCATCAGGTAAGACTTTATATGCTCATTCGGTTGTCTCTAGTTGTACAGACTTTGGCTCTTGTTAGATGGAGTGAACTCTAGGTACAGTATATAGGTTGACTGCTCCCACTGAAAGGGGCTGGACTTGATGATTTATAGGATCCCTTTCAGCTCTTTAAGATTATTATAATGATATTTTGTCCCCGAGGAACGTAGTCCTTCCTGTTTTGGAGAGTGAGAAAGCAGTAGATTTGAAACCCAGCTGTAGTATGCCGCACGTACCCCCTATCCACTAACTCTTCTATAATACAGATTGGTGTTTCGTTAACTAACACAGGGTGCAGATACATTCCTGTCTACAATCGCAGTCTTGTCTTTTCCAGCTCTGACTCCCTTCTGAACCACGTGGAACAGCTGCTGCGTGCCTTCATTTTGAAGATCAGCGTGTGTGATGCTGTTCTGGACAACAACCCTCCAGGTGGGGCCAACAAAGCCTATTTGCCTCGTCGCTGGCTCTCAGAGGTTGTCAGTGTTTCCTCCTATCTCCTCCAAAAAAAGGTGGAAATTAATTCTAAAGCAAACTCAAGAGACTTATGTAACAGAAAGCAGTATTTTCCTCCCTTCAACCCAATTTTTTTAAAATGTGTCTAGAAGCTTAGACTGGTTTCTATCGATGTGTGTGAAACTGATCTGAAACCTAACCAGATCGGTGATTTTTAAATATTTTTTTAAAAATTAACATTTGGTAATTATCTCAGCAAGAATCCTGAGGGTTTTTTTTTTAACATCTGAAAAAGGAAAGAAAAAAGAAGCAGAAATTGGTGGCTTTTAGGTGCCGAGTTCAAATGGTGCCCAGTCTGTGCCCGAGTCAGCTTTTCCTCTGGTCTTTTAACGATCCAATCCATGCACCATTTTCCTTCTCCCTTCTAGGATGTACTTTTACTGTGCTGGTTCATACCCGTGAAGCCGCCACACGGAACATGGAGAAAATTCAAGTGATTAAGGTGAGATATTAGATCCGCACGACCCAGCTACCCCTCAGTGCCAGCCCTGCAATGTTGGTCAGGCTGAGAATTCGGAGTACTGCTCTTTTAAAGGGAGCGACCGCCAGTGACAGCCACCAGGTGCAAAAATCTACAGAAAATAAAAACTCCAGTGTCAATGTTTACCAAATGGGATAAACGTTCGCTTGCTCCCCCCCCACCCGGTGGAGTGTAGAGATGGGGCAAAAGGGGGGGGCTCCAGATGTTGTTAAATCACACCTCCCACCAGTCCAGTAAAGAACGCTGGGCCTTGTAGTTCAACAATAGCTGGAGGACCAGACTTGTGCCCCCCACCCCCACCTTAAGGGAATCAAGGGTTTCCCATGCTTGTGTGAATTGGTCCTGACTTGAGCGAATGTCTTGGTGCAGGATTTCCCGTGGATCTTGGCTGACGAACAGGACGTCCACATGCGTGACCCACGGCTGATTCCTCTGAAAACCATGACCTCCGATCTTTTAAAGGTGAGCCGTTCCCATGGAGCTTAAGAGCAGTTCCTGGTTCAACCATCCCTACTCCCCCCGGACCCTCTTGCGGGGAGGGTCCCAGAGCTCCTAAATCCTGGCTATAGGAAGCACTTCGCTAAATAATTTCCATTTTCACACTTGCTTGGTGGCTTCTTTTTTTTAAAAAAAATAAACAGATGCAGCTGTACGTCGAGGAACGGGCCCAGAAAGGAACCTGACGTTTACCCTTCCTCACCCGCCTTCAAACCTCCGACTGGCCCAGAGAGTGAGCCGACCTGCCCTCTGTCTGCTGCGGAGATCAGTGGTGCTCTGATGCTTACCGTCTTGTTGTGACCCAATCATTTCCCCATTCTCTGTGTGGATACGTGTTTTTAAAAAGTGCTCTTACAACTGGTACCTAGGAGTGAGAAAATTTTGTAGCAACGAGCTCATACCTCTTTCAACAAATGGATGTGTCCAGATGTGGCTTATTTAACAAGTTTCTAGACCTGAGTGAGGAGAGTCCTCTCTTTTTTGATGGCTTTGAGGCTTTCAACTGGACTTACGAGCGAATCTCTTCAGGTTCACAAACTCATCTGTGTCATTTAAAGTGTCTTGAATGTTTGTCTGTCTTAAGATCCTCCCCAGGGGGGGTGTCATGCAATGGTCTTTCTGCATTATATTTTTGATTGTAAATAAAGAGAAGGTTTCTGGAATTGTGCATGTGGTCATTATTAAGCCCAAGAGGGAGAGCCAGCATGAGGTATTTTGATTTTTATTTATTCAGAACTGCACAAAAAAAGCTATACAATTATACATTGTCTCTGCAACCGGCCACATCGGAAATAGGAAAAAGCAGAAATCACAATAGGACTCTTTGAATGAGGTGCATTGAACAGTGTGACTCTGGCAGCTGGCCTAGGAGGAACGGTGCAATTTTAAAAAATCTTCACTGACCTGATAAACAAAAAAGATATTATACAGCCATATACAACAGTTTTCCCCCTTAAACAAAACTGGTATTTACATGCCAGCCCCTTTCTCTTCTCTAGCTTTGAGAAAAGTGTGAGCTTCAGGAGTCACACATGCTGTAGCTGATATAAGGGCTAACCAATCAGGGCCACATGAAACCCAGGTCTAAGGAGCAGAAAGAGCTGCCAGACTGACGGAAAGGGGAGCCAATCAGGGCTGTGAAATGCCTTGCTCCAAAGGAGTGGAAAGAGCCTCTTGATTGACCCAAGGGTTAGCCAATCAGGGCTGTGAAATGCCTTCTCCAAAGGAGCAGAAAGAGCCTCTTGATTGACCCAAGGGTTAGCCAATCAGGGCTGTGCACAGCCCTGCATGGACACAATGTCCTGATCAACACAGGGGCTAGCCTATCAGGGCTGTGGCCTGCTCTATGGAGTGGAACTGACTTGACTGACACCAGAGCGAGCCAACCAAGGCCCTGAGATTTAGGAGGAGCCTGATTGACAGGCCAACCCATCAGCAAACCCTGCTCTTGTGAGCAGACAGGTAAAATCTAATTAAGGCCACACCTGTGTGCAAATTCAAGCAGGAAGGGAGGTTTTCAGCCATGAACGGTATAGGTTGAAAAGGGGCTTCTAAAAAACGAGATCCGGGCTTCCTTCAGTCTGCCACTTCGGGGCCGAGCGTGATGCTGCTGTTGGTGACACGGATGCCGTACCAGCCTGCCCAGAATTGAGTGTCTTGGCCTCCATGTTGAAAGAGGATGTATCGGACTCCGGGAGGATAGTTGTGAAACGTGTGCGAAATCTTTAAAAGGAAAAGAGCGAGAGGGTAAGAGAAAAATTCTGGGATAACTCTAGATGCCGAAAGCATCTCACAGCAATAGATCAGATCCTCTCAACCTCAGCTTTGGAATCAGAAACTAGAAGAGGGAGAACGTTTTTCCCTTCAAAGACTCCATTCCTTCAAAGCTGCTGGGCCCCCACCTTCTGCACTTGCCAGCAAATCTTGTGCTCATCCCTTGAACACCCCCTCCCCCAAAATTGCTGACTGCTGAAAGAAAGAAAGCCAAGCCATTGGCACTTTGAGAAGTGAGGGAAGGTTAGCTCATTCAGGTTACCTCCCGCCACTCTGCGTTGCTCCACTGCTCGATGATAATTTCTTCAGGCAGAAATTCTTGAAGGACTAGGTGATCTTTTGAGAGGAGCCGGACACACAGCTGGTAGCTGCAGCCGCAATCAAACCGGGCGGCGTACCTGACGAAAAGACAAGACAGATTCACAGACGCCCCTGCCATACCCTGGCATCAGCATGTGTGACCAGCAAGGATTTTTACACATTCCCCCGCTATGTGCCAGCAAGCAGAAAAGGGTGTGCACGCTCAGTCCTCTGTCTGCACGGTTGTTTCCAAAACAGGGGGTTGTAACTTCCTGATCCAGAGATTTCTACCTCTATTTCCATTTCTTCCCCACCAAAAAAATCACCTTTTTCCTTCTATTCATCAGAGGCCAGTGGTACAGCATGGCCGCTCCGGGTTTTCATCCAAACTTTAGAGGAACTGGGTTTTTTCCCTCCCCTTTCCCCAGACACTGCCCCCTTCTGTCTGAAAGAGGCCTGGTCCCTTCCATAGCTCCTTTCCAAATTGGAGCCAATTTAAGGAGATTTAACGATGCACTGGGTCCTTAGCTGCTCCCTTAGGGCCCTCCACCCCGGACCCCCTCCCCGACTTACCAGTCCTTCACCACAATATCTGGCCGGATTTCATCCATCAGCTGATTCCCGTAACCTTCGGCTTTTAAGGTGATGAGCTGGTTTTTCATGCAGGGCCTGGAGAATGCAATGCAGGTGAGTGGTGGGCGGGGCCAGAGCCAAAGGGGTGGGGCCAGAGTCAAAGCAGGTGGGGCCCAAGAGCCACTATTACCATAGGGGAGGCTTTAAGAATGGGGGGAAACAACTCTACAAAAGACAGGAGGCCACAAATCGTGGCACCATGGGGAAAGAGGCGTGACTGCTGGGATTCCTGGTGGGCCAGATTGAGCCCTAGGGCCGAACGCTCCCAACCCCCTATATAAAGGACTTTTTAAAAGTTTAAAACAAGACTATGAAACTTACTCATAAGAGGTGACAAAATATTTCCGGACGTGCGGAAGAGGGAACGCCTTCCCGTGAGCTCCGGGCAGCTCCTCAATTTTCCACTTGTCTCCTCCACTTACTTCTTTCACCCAAGAATTGAAGCCCTCTTCAAGGAGATATTTGGGGGGTGGGGGGGCAGAGGAAGAGAAATAAGAACAATTTGAGGTCCTTGTAGTGGAGGGAGGTGAAATCCTGAAGCCATAAAGGCCTCCCATCCTGCGCCCTTTAGATGCGTTGGGCAAAACATGGGTGTGTGTGTTTTCTTTTCCTCTGCCCTCCTCGTCATTTTTCCTTTCATGCTGTGTCTTTTTAAAATGGCCTGGCTGGTCCCTCTCCCTTTGGGTACAGGGTAAATTATAGTCTACCAATGTCCGTTCCCCCCCACCCCCATGCTGGAGATCTCCCAATCACCGTTTGACGTACCACACGTTTGTTGTTGTGAAAAGCAGAGAGAAAGAGAGAGAGAAAGAGAGAGGAGCTATGGGCTTCTTAGAGAAAAGACAGGAGAGAAACAAACAAAAATAGAATAAAAACTAATAATAAATCCAGCCCGGCTGAGCTCCAACCCTCCAGGAGGGTTACCGGGGGGAGACTCTACCTTCTGCACATGGGTTCTTGATTAAATTCCTCTTCCGGGTGCAAAGGATATAGTAGATTTTCCAGTCAGGGACCTCCTTCCCCGCGGTTTGGGGACAGAACCCGTCCTTCTGGCTCTTGCGCTTCCAGAGAGAAGGGAGGCCGACCACACACGTTCAGTGGAAGTCTGTTTCTTAAATCCTCCGGCTTGTTTCTGGATGGGTTGAAACACAACGCCCATTATCCAGCCAGCCAGGGCGCAGGATAATGGAGGCTGCAGTCCAGCGCATAAGGGAGGCCTCCCTGTGCGCCAGGCTGGACGACCCATTAAGGACGTGGATGGGGCCCCTTCAGGTACAGCTCTCTCTCAGCCTCCTCTCCAGGACAGAGACTGCAGGATTAAGAGCAGTCTATCTGATATCTAATAATGGCTTTTGCTTCCTATTTTAATCATAGCAACAGTGAAACGCAGCCCTTTAGTGCATAGGGCTGCCCTATACACAGAAATAAAATAAAATCCCAAATTCCCAACGGAGCCGATACCTTAGCCACGATCCACTCTCAAGTCACCAAGGATGCAAGCTTCCGAGTTCTATAGAACGCTTCATCAGCCTAAAATGGTAAACCAACAACAACAAAAAAGGGGGGGAGGAGACAGGCGTCCCCCAAATTTGGAATTTTTAGGTGGTGGCGGTTTAATTGCAGCTTTCATGCTGCTGCTCCTGAAATGGGGATCTAGATCACCTGCTCTGTGTATAGTTTCCTCCCCTATATTTATATATATATGCTGATTGTTTTGATCGCAAAAATAAAGACATAAGACAGGTCTCCTGCTGTGCATATGTCGCTGCTCCCACCATATGCTGGGTGAGGAATTAGCATGGCTTATTTATTTATTTTTGGCAATTTTACACACACACACACACACACACACACACACACAGAGCCTGGAGGCTAAAATTGACCACTGGTAAAAAGAGTGGTCAGTTTTACACGAGGGAAATACCGACTTCAGTTGATTCCCACGGTCCCCATCCCCTTTAACGGTCGTTTCTTTCTAAAGGCCTGGAAAGGCTGCGCCCCGCCCTGCTTTCTGGAGGTCCCCCCTCCCTCCGCGCAACCTCCAAGCCGGCTCGGACTACACCGCCCATCACCTCCAAACCGGTCGGGGGACGATGGGTTTTGTTGGCTACCCGCCCCGCCCTCTCCCTTCGGTCCAGCTCGGGCGGTTCAGGGAGGGAGGGCGCGGGGACAACACGGAACACACACCAAAAAAAACAAAACAAAAAAAAATCGTCTCTGCTGGAAGGAAATAAAAAAAGGCCTGCAAACGAACCCGGGGAGGTGGCCCTCGCCTTCTCACGTGCAAACACGTCGCGGGTCTCCACGCGCGACTCGCTGCGAAGGATCCGCGGCTCCGATGTCACGCACCCACCCACCTCTTCGCCTCGCGTGGGGTCCCTCTTGGCAACGCCAGGCGAGGGTCTCTCCGCCCCGGGGAGCCTCCCAAAGCCGGGCAAGCGGAAGCCGAAGGAGCCGGAGGAGGAGAAAGCCGGCCGGGGAAAGGGCCGGCCCGATCGCCCGCCTCCTCGGGGGGTGGGACCGGGCAGGGAAGGCGGGCATCCGACCCGGGCCAGCCCCGACCCGGCGCACAGAGATCGGCGGCGTCACAGAAGGACCCGCGTC